TCAAGTTCGGCCTTAAATCATATATTTCATCCTCAAAAAAGTTAATTAGTCACACAACCTATGGCACTTCAGAAATCATTTCTAAAGTGATACGCCATTGACATGGCCTTCTTTTCTTATATACATGATTAGTATGCAAATCGCGTCTAGTATTTTTTTCTGAGATACATCGTTCTCGTTTTAGGTGAAGAGAAAATTTACTCGGTAAAATTAGTTTACAATCGTCCAACAAATGAGCGGGCAAAGGAGTGTATTCAACGACTGTTCACTATATCACCTTTAATTAGGTTATAATAATTTTATTATAACCAGCATCAGCCCGATTTCTCAAATTTTTGATTTGTCTTGCTGAAATACAGATAGGATGATAAGTCCAGTATAGTGTGCCATACCTTTATTTCGACTCAATCCGGGCCTTTAAGAGGGGATTGTCGCAGTGTACGTTTAACATAGAATGGCTTTTCAGAACTTATAGGAAACCATATTCTTAGAATATCTAAGGAAGGCAAATCAATTGATAAAGACTATCACATGTGCACAGAGATTGGAATGGTATTCATAACTAAAATATGTATATTATGTTCAGTCTGTGTCTTGTGGTGGTTTAGACCCACACACGAATAATAATGTCAATGGTGTAAATGTGGGAAGGTATCATATTAGCCTAACAAAACGATATAGTCAATGGAGATACTCTGTCTGCATAAACAAGCTTCGTTATAAGAAAAGCTGGTAGTGTGAAGAGTGACAAATTGTTCAATTTGCGAGATGCTTAACAATGAAGGAACGTTGGGAGGATAGAGTTACATATGTCATGAATATTACATCTCTTAGATGATCAATGGATGTGCAGAATTATCCATACTCCTTGGATTGCAAGAGCATAAAGCATTTGGTTCGTTTGACGTCTACCTTTATTTCATTTAATATTTTTGAGCGTTTTGCGAGTATAATGTAATTACCTTATTCTCATGATTGCATTACGATAGTAATTAAAGCGCTGCTTCCTATTGCCCTGAGCCAGTCGTCTTTAAAGATTATTTGCAAGGTGACAATTTGTTTAACCCCGCACGGGTATCACGTATTTTGAAAAGTGACATTATGCCGTTTTTTTGCCTTAATGCTGGTTTTTTTGACATTAAGTAGGTTACTCTACAAGATGTTAACTTAGCACTTAGAAGTACGTGTTGCCTATATGTCGTGAGGCTTGTTATCATCTTTGGCGCTGATGTGATGTAAAATCTGCTTCTGAGATGGCATTACTGGAGGTCCAAGCTGTAAGTTGTATGTGTGGACGATAACTACATTGGGTTCTTGTCTCAAATACACTTAATTGAGATTCAAAGCGTCAGTCTTTCCTACAATTGTAGGACGCCTTTATGGCCTCCTTGATTTTCATACCCCTTTCCCTCCTTAAAAAATTTCTAGATTGCACCTCTTTTTAAATTGTAGGAAATTTCAGGCTGATAAATCATAATATAAATCAAAAGCTTACACAATTTGATGCAAATAGAAAATAGAGCGCTGACACGGAAAAGTAGAAAACTGTGACAATCAAGGAGGCCATAAAGGCGTTCTACAATTGTAGGAACGACTGACGATACGGGCCTAAGAGGTACAAAAAAAACAAATGAAGAACAAGGCTAGATCACAGAGTTACGTGCCGCCAGACATGCGACCCGTCACCATAATTTCAACACCCAATTTCAAAATTCAATTGGATTCAAGCACTTGGTCCATATAATTATTGGTATGTTACCATTACATATAACTATCTGTATGATACCGTAACATGTGAAGCACTGCATGAGCCTACTTAACATCAACTTTCAGTTTAGATGTCAAAGAAGAGAAATGAGGTTGGGGAAACTGCGCTGGACGTGCATCCGTTTCATGGAATTTATTATTTTAAAATGTATATACGAGTATATTTCAACATTAACTGCAAGAAATTCATATGCTAGTAACCTCAAGGAATTGAGCGTAAGGTTCAGAAGCAGGTAGATGTAATTGTTTCCAGGACGTTGCGCTTCAAGGCAAGACATTCGACCTCTTCGATATTTCTGAGTTTAATTGTTTTTGTAGAGTTTCAAGAGTAGATGAACCAATTTGCCCATACATTCTATAGAAGCTGTGAAATAGTAGTAATATTACTTAATATCTAGTAACAGAGGCAAGTCATACTTTTGAGAAAATAGCGATAAAATTACCTGGAAAATTTTTCTTTTTACAATAACAAACAGCTCATTTTAAAAAAAATCAGTGTAGTTTTTTCGGTTAAAGCATTAATTAGACTTATCAAAAGCATTGTCAGGCTATTGTTATGCAGTGTGAAAATTTAAACGGGTTAGTTGTTTAACTGAACATACCGCTTTCGTCGGTCCGACCACAGTCGGCTAACGGTGAACAGCTATTCTGTGTTTTTTTGGACCTAATCAGCACTGTCTTAGGTAAGACAATGAACGAGAGTATAGCTACTATCCATCCGAGGCATGAGATCTATCGAAATGAGACAGTACATAGTGCCATCTGTTACCAGAATTGATCACTGCGAGGGTTCGTAGCAACAATGATGGGCGCATTGTATACCTCGTGTTGTAAAATACACCATTGCAATTGTATGCATATACGTATTGATATTCGTGTAGACAATGTAAACAATAATGTAGACACTGTATACAATAGCAAAATAGTTCAATTAGGTCGCTTGTAAAAGAGATTTGTGAATAATTAGAATAGGTATTGATTATTTATACATACATAGTTATTGTTTTCGATGAAACAAAATAACATACATGCTAAAAGCAAAATTCCCCCACTTGACAGATTTCATTCAGCGTCGTCAGAATTGTCAATATTTAGATTGGTAAGGCCGTAATCGGTCAACCGTAAGGACTAATACACACTCATTCTCACTAGTTCATATATTAGGCAGTAAAACTTGATAAATTGGCCGTCGGTAGCCTACGACAAACGTCAACGTACCTGTATGATTTCAAGTCAAATGGAGCTTAATTAGACATTTTTGTTTACAAAAACAGAAGTCGACAAAATGAACCCTAGTTCATCAGTTTTTGGAGTGACTTATTATATTCTATAGTTTCCGATTTTACATTGAGAAGAAAATATAATTAAACGAATTAAAATTTTAATTAAGTCAATTCAAAGGTTTAATTAACTGCGAAATTTAACAAGTTCAATATTTGGTTTAATTAATCTAGGATAGAACAGTTTACTTGGATGTGCAGAACTAGTTAAATTAAGCCAAAGCGCAATCATTTTACTAAGTTTAGAAAGCCGTTTATTTAGATTGAGTACACCAATTTACGTAAAAATAATTAACTATTAAAATGAGGTTACCTGCTCCAGCTATGTCAATTTAATTATATTTATTAAATTTGTTTAATTAGTTTAGGTAAAAAATTATTTTATTAAGATTTTAAAGTATGTTTGGATAATAATTAGAATATGATAGAAAAAATTGCATTTTACTGAGTTCTACTTTCGAAACCGCTGATCACCGTTGGCCGTCTGTAAAGGGTCGGACAAAAGCTGTATGTTGATTTGTTCAATACCAAGTACCCCACATCTGATGTACGGTCAGAATCGACAGTATGTAGCCCCCCAAGAGGTGACGTAGCTATCAAATCCGAATTCTGATCATTACACAGTTCCAACTAATACCTGTCACTCACTGTCGCAGTGGTAGATTCCGGTAATAGATCGTACTTTCTGCCGTCAAAATTTCGTTGAATTATACAGAGCCGTTTAATAGGAAGTTACATACATTGGTGGAGAAGTATACCATTGTTGGAGGAGCACCTTTATATCCTGAGGCGCATAATGTGCGAGGGATGTGTGTGATAGAAATATAACTTCTCCTTAGAGCAGTGGTTCCTAACCTTTTCAATGTCACTACCCCTGTGAACAAGTATGGGAATTGAGTTTACCCCTAGCCAATTTAAAATAATTAAAACCACACAAATTCGAACGAAAATATGTTTATTATCTAACTAAATTCTAAGAAATTGCACGTTTAGGTAACTAGTAAAGTAAAGTAATATGTAAATCTTGGAGTTAACTAGTGTGAAGGTTGAAATTGCTTTGCATTCGCAAGTTTGACAATATTAGGTTCGGTTTCACTCAACGCGCATCTCATGTCATGCTCAACATTCAGACGGTTTCTGGCTTTTGTTTTTAATGTAACAAGAGTTGAGAAACCAGTTTCACATCTGTAAGTTGTAGCAAATGGAATCAACATTTTTAAAGCTCTGTCAGCTATAATGGGATATTCTGCAGCTGCTTTTCGCCAAAATGTGCTTAGTTTATCATTTTGAAAATCAACTTTCAATGAGTTATTCTCACGCAGCCCGAGAAACTCTACTTTCGCTGACACATCTTCGTCCTTGAAAATATCGACGCAAGTAGAAAATGGTCTTAAAATCCAGGAGTAGGACTCACGACTGTCCATGTTCGGAAAATATTGCTGCAGTGAGTCTATCACGGCAGTTAAATGTTGAACCACGGAATTTTCAAACGAGATTTTCTCTTGTTTATTATTTACTAATTGCTCACTTAGTTGTGTAAACATTGACACATCACCAGCTTGAACTCTGCGTTGGTAAAGTTCCAATTTGCGCAAAAAACTTGCGATTTTATCCTGCAACGTCAAAATATTCGTTTCATTTCCTTGCAGTGAAATATTCAGACTATTAATTTCAGTGAAAAAATCAGCAAGGTACGCCATTTTTAGAATAAATGTTTGGTCTTTAATTTTTGCATAATATTCTTTTTCTTTTTGTGTTCTCTGATTTTCAAAAAACAATCCAATTTCTTCTCGTAATTCGTAAACCCTACTTAGAACTTTGCCTCTTGATAACCAACGTACCTCTGTATGTTACAAAAGAGCATTAAATGTAGCACCAACTTCATCGCACAAAACTTTGAATAATCTTGAGTTAGTAGCGCTGCCTCGAATATGATTAACAATTTTTACTATGTCACTCAACGTGTTTAGCAAATCTGATGGAAGCATTTTCACAGCCAAAGCGTAACGGTGTATCAAGCAACGATAGCCTTAAAACTTGAGGAGCAACTTGCTTCACGAGTGCCTGAAAACCAGAACGGATGCCCATCATGGAAGGCGCCCCGTCTGTACAAGTACCAATCAGCTTTAACCAGTCTAGGCCATTTTCCTCAATAAACTCTTTTAGCGTTTGAAATACGTCTTCGCCGCGAGTAGTAGTGGGCAAAGACTTGCAGAACAAATATTCCTCCTTTACATCATCATCTTTAATGTATCGTGTAAACACCAATAATTGTGAACACGAAGCAACATCTGTGGACTCGTCCAACTGCAGCGCAAACATATGACTTTCCTTTATTTCAGAAATAACGGGTGCTAGAATATCGGCACTCATTTCACATATGCGTCTTTGAATAGTAGTGTTTGAGAGTGAGATTTGTTTAATCTTAGCTACATGTTGCTCACCAATAACAAGTGCTACTGCATCTAACAAGCAAGGTTTGATGAGGTCCTCTCCTATAGTGTGTGGTTTTTTATTACGTGCGATGCGATAAGCAATTTTGTATGAAGCTTGAAGGCATGATTCGTTTGCTTTCTGTATATTGCCTGTTGAATCCATGCGGGAAGACTTCAGAATCCTCTCCTTTTTCTTAAAAAAATCTATATTTTTATCTGCGAACTCCTTGTGAACTTTAGCAAAATGTTCTTTTAATTTGCTCGGTTTCATGCTTTCTGGATTAAGCACTTTATTACATAAAACACACTGAGGCTTTTCTATATTTTTGTCTACGATGCTTGTGAAACCCCATTGTAGAAATGCTTCTTTATAAGTGCGCTTTTTGCCAGATGAAGTAGAAGCCATGTCAAAAACACCTGTAGGTACCTAAAACAAAAATCAACTAATACATACCTACGTAAACAAATCACTCGTGACAATATTAACGTGACGATATTAACAAACACTGCTTACCTTTGAATTTAAACCGTTTAAAAATACGATTTCTGCAATGCGCGGCGGAACAAATAAAATGCGTGTTCTTCCTAAGCTTAGGTAAACAAAATGAACATCGCCGCCTGTCCGGCCCGCCGCTAGTCATGCTTCACCCCTCCCACACCGCAGCTCACCCGCCGCCGTCGCCGTCAGCCGCGCGCATGAGAGCGCCGTGCTACCGTTTACCGTACTATTATTTTGTTTATTGCTATTTTAATACTATTTCGTGCCATCCCGTGTTACCCCCTTAGAATCTCCGTTTTACCCCTGCGGGGGTAATTACCCCCAGGTTAGGAACCACTGCCTTAGAGGAATGTGATAAATAATGGAGATCTCTCTGGTTAGTTGATTGTGGGCAAGAGTTATTTGAGGAAAACTTAGTTCCAGTAACGTCCTTTATGGACCTGTATCTTGAAAAATGCTAACTAGATGCTATTGCACCTTTTATGGACCTTATTTGAACTATATAGCATAGTTTTGGTACACATCTACCCGTATTCAGTAGATAAAAGGGCTAACCGTACCGATCTGATCGCCACCATCGCCATGGTGCGTTATTAGTACAGCTGCAGCCGAATCGCATTTCGACATCGCTACGGCTCCTTGAATAGCGCAGGTGAACAAAGCCTAATCGATCAAACTTTCATGCAAGATTGACACCCGGTGGCTGCCATGCTATAGACCCCTACGTGTGTGCTGTGTGTGTTTTGCATGGAATTAATTATCACTGCGATTGTTCGGGATGAATGGATGGCTATGGCGGTTCTGGATATTGCATACAGCGCCATTGATTACGGATGGTGTAGATTTAAACCTACTATTGTGTGAATTGACCTCTTCCGCCATCTTGCAATTAGTTTAAGCCAAATATGAATAGGACAAGTATGTAAAGCGAAAAAATCTAAAGGGAGTAGCTACAAACATTCTTCTCCAGGACGTGAACGTCAAAATCCTTCTTCAGGACAAGCAATTCCCAAAAATCGGATGAAAAACATCAATAAACGTAGGTAACACATCAAATACACAGGTCACAATATACAAAACTGATCGTTGTTTGACCTACTGCTGTTTATTGGTTACCATAAAATGTGTTATAAAGGCGTGACTGCTTTGAGAGATAGATACAATGATATATACATATAAAATGATACCTGGAAAGTTTTGCAATTCCAAGTATTTCTCGGTATAGATGAAAGTAACAGAATTTTCCGAAAATATTTTTTATTTTAATTTTGTTTAATTAATGATAGCTTCAGCCAACCCACTTGTGATATATTTTTTAACAAACTAAATTTCATCCATTAAACCGATTGGTGGAGGTCTCTTCTAACTCGAATCGTCTACTACAGATTTCATCGGTCTGTCGTTTGTTGTACATTGAAAGTAGAATTCAATCTTCAGTCCGCAACTCTCATCAATACATCATAACAACACCGTTAGTTCAAATAGTATCACTTCTGAAAGTTTAGTTGAACGTAAGTTTCTATTACTACATCGATTTGCTTTCAGGAAGAGTTTTGACTTCGAAAATTGATCGGTGGTGGTAGCTGAAGATTACAAACCGAAGAGATAGCAAGATCATCTCCATAATGTTAGATTTTCGGATAATAAATCTCCACATTTTTTTTTATTGAGATTAGTTGATCAATCGTAAAATGATCTTTCCTCTGCTTGTAAGAAAACTTATGTAAACATTTTGGAACAGTATTCGTAATGTTCGAAGTTCACATATGTTGCATACAGATTTAAGCGCAACTATTAATTTAAAGCGAAACTACTGCTGAGAGCTGATGTTACTACAATCTTTTTTCATCCGAATGCCACACAGAGTATCTTGCCACTAGTTTCACTGTTTGAAGAAGCTGTCTCCTACGAGTATTGCTCCTTCCTTTTAAGTTTTCGTTGCCCAAGAGTTGAAGCGCGGTTGACGTATTTATGGAGCGGTTTGTGTACGGGTAGAGTTTTTTTTCTATTTTTGATCATTATGTAGCCAAGGACTATATGGAGATCACTCTTACGAATGCGCATTTGGTCTACCTCGGAGCGCTTCTTTCTAAAGTGTTTGGTTCACCTCAAGATTACTCTTACTATATAGAGCCTATAACTTGGCTTTCTGATTGTTTGACATCAACTTTACCTCACCAGTAGCTTTTAGCATCAATTAGCATAATCTACCAGAAGATAGTCAACCTTATACATACTATACTTCCGCGTCTGAAAAATTATCCGAGGTAAAATGAGATCAGATATGAGAATTTTTCAGAACTGTGTTTCTGTCTCATGGCGAACTAAGGAAATACATCACCGAATGTAGGATTGTAAAGTCCATTTAAATGTACAAAATTACAATACCGTACGAAAAAACAAAGTTGGTGGTGGAAGTTGAAAGAAGTATTAGAAATTTGACTACGTCATCTTGTAGAGGAGAATAACAACGAGGACATGCATTTTATTTGGAAATCCCATTGCAAATAAGGCCAGGAAAACATAAAAGTTATTTTGGGATGAATCTGGTACGCAAAACAAATGACCATCTGATAAATAATTTCAAGACCCACCTAGCAAATTCTGCTTTTTTATATAACTAACGTTTGACAATGTCAAAATTGCACGTATTATACATTTTTCTAATCAGAATTACCCTATTTATCTGCACAAACATCCAATATGCCGTCTATAAGAAAAAATGGATGGGACAAGAGACGAAACGTCATATTGAAATTCTAATTACGCTTTCCTGTAGAGGAGAAAAAGTGGCAATGTTAATGTGCAATTTAGAGATATCAATACAAATAATGGCAGTCCTTTGAATTTCGAAACTTTCTAAGTGACATTTTGTTGATTACTTGAATCCGTAACTTTGCCTCGATTTAAACGAGTCCATGTCTCTTACAGTTTCCGAGAGCCCAATGGCGAGTGTCGAATTTGAAACACCCTGTATAGTTAATAGCGCAGCACCTGTGGTAAAATTTTGCACGGTATCTCATTCTCTCTCTGATAGTTTCATGAACGCGGGCATACAGCATTAGGTTGGATGTCTTCAGGTAGAATACGTAATCTACTTACCCGTTTTAGTGACATAACATCTTAGGCAGTTTTTCTCTAACTCATCGAGACACTGAAAACAGACCATTCTGATTCACATATCGTAAGTAATATGCTGATTTGAACAATGTATTCGGTTTCTGCTAGACAGGGTTTCCTAACCTTTTTTTGTTGAGGCTTTATGGACTATACATTATAATTTCATGCCCCCCTTTGCTTTTTCAATAAGTACAAAGAACGCACATTATATAGGTACAAAGACTTTTATTTTAATTCTTATAAAGAAACTTTAAAAGTTTAAATAAACTAATAAATGTTTTTTACCGAAAAATGAGACACTTGAGATTGTTTTGTTTTAATTAAAACTAGAGCAGAAAAGCCTGTATCACATAAGTAAGTTGAAGAAAAAGGACCTAGTATTCCTAAAGCAAGAGAGGCAGGTGTCGAATTAACAGGCAATCTTTTGATAAAAAATTTCTCCAACGTTAAAAGATGGAAGTCAACTTTCATGGACGAATCAGCCTTCATTTCTAGAAATTCTTCCTGAACTTCTTCTGGTAATCGTGACACATCGACAACAAATGGATTTCTTGTCATGTGCTATATTGGTGACTCTGAATTGATGTCTCGATAGTATCGGCGAAATTCATCTTCCAGCGCTTGCAAATGAGTTTTTATGTCAGCTTTTAAATTTGCGTCCACTATGTTATTTTTAACTGCTTCGAACATCCGAGAAAATGATATAACACTTTCAGAAGATGCGTTTTGAATCCAAAGTTGAAGCTTTGATATGAACCCCTAAATATAATCATAATTGCTTATTATAATGTTGTTCTGCCCTGAAGTTTCGAGTTTAGCTCATTCATGGAGTCAAACATGTCAGTTAAATAAGCCAACCTCCATTGAAATGTGTCTTTGAACATTGTCAAGATATCGTGTTTTTCTTTGAAATCTAGAAAAAGAATTACCTCTTCTTTTAATTCATAAAGCCGAGCCAACGTGTTGCCTTTGGACAACCAGCGTACTTCTGTATGGAACAGAAGAACTTTGTGATCAGTATCGAGATCCTCGCAAAGTAAAGTAAATAACGGACTGTTCAAAGCGCTGCCCTTGATATAGTTTACAATCCTTATAGCCGAGTCCAAAGTCTGGCGTAATTTCTGTGGCAATGTTTCGAAAGCCAAAGCTTGCCGATGAATAACACAATGTGTACTAACCATTGCGGGATCTTTTTCCTTGAGATTTTTAGCTAAGCCCGATCGTACTGCTGGTGCGCGATCTGTGCAAAGTCCAATGAGTTTCTTCCAATCCAAATCATTTTTTCAAAAGAATTTGATATTGAATTAAATATATCTTCAGATGCAGTACCTGCTGTCAACGATTAAGAGTACAAAATCCCTTCTTGAATGATATCTCCGCCGATGTATCGAACATAAACTATTAACTGAGCACAATTAACAATGTCGGTGGATTCATCGCAACTAATGGCAAAATGGCGATAATTTTACTTTGTTAACTATTTGCGAATTTATGTCTGCTGCAATGTCATCGATTCTACGCTTGACTGTGTCATTCGAAAGAGAAATAGACTTCACTTTTTGCTCTGCATCTTCATCTAAAATTATCTGCGTGGATTTTTGGACACATCGATTTATGAATTATTCACCGATAGTATGAGGTTTCTTTTGCTTTTCTATCATAAGAGCTATTTCAAATGAAGCTTTGATATGCTGCGATACCCCTGTGTGATAACTTCCCGATTTATCCATTCTCATTCGCTTGAGTGATTCTGCTTTAGAAGAAAAAAACTGTTCCGTCTTCCAAACCAGAGTAGGATGTTGTTTCATACATATCACACACTGAGGGAATTATACTTTGGGTCCAGTCCGAAGACATCACTTTGTTTATTCACTATGTAGTCCGCCCCTGGAGTACGATCCGCGCACCAAGTTGAAAGACGAGAATCCCCACCTCCTCGCCGCGCCCTGGCCACTCGCGTTGAATCATTCGCTTTTTGGTGCGCGATCCGTGCAGTCGCCCGGCCTGCTTCAGTTCAGAAAACGCGTGCGATTTCTCTTTTCGGTACATAGTGCTCAGTGAGTAGGTAGGTAAGTTCACAACAAGGCTATTCTTTTTGATACCACTTAGCAGTCTGTTACATAATTGATTGGCGTATTCAACCAGATTGAATACGTTAACCAATGGTTATACTTGTTTAACAGAAACCATGGAAAAATCAGGAATTTCGGAGGCCAATTCACCCAGCTCCTTGAGAGACATGATTCGGGCCATTTTACAGGAGGAGCTCGAGGCAAGGTCAGGTGGTTATCGTTCTCGCACTAATTCGAGAAGTTTATCCCGAAAGAGTCGACACAGCAGATCCATGTCTCGTACCAATTCACCTCATCATTTTAGACGCTCCCGCTCTCGCATCAGCCGTAGGCGTTCAAGGTCACGTTCTAGGAGTAGTAACAGTCACAGTCGATCACCGAGCGTGTCGAGGCGACGTAGAGAGAGACGGGAATATTTGCGTCAAGAGAAAAACTCAGGCAGCCCATCTGATAAGGTACAGCGTCAGGTAGACTCGGCTGGCCGTTCTCCGTGCGAGGCGGAAGCTCAGATTCTGACAGGGCCGGACTTGGGAACGGTACCAACTGAGAAAAATGATATGGAGGATGTTTTGATGCTTAGTGAAGGTGAGTGTCTCCCATTATCGGAAGACATATTAAATATCCTGGGTGTAGACCCTAAAAAAGCCAATAGGTCTAACTTCCAACTACACGGTGCCTTAGCTTCTCGATGGTCCCACATTTTGGCCAACGGACTTTCCACCGAGGACACCACCATCATTAGAGAAAAACACATTGTGCCTTCTAACTGTGCCTCTTTACACCCTCCGAAGATAAACCCCGAAGTGAAAGCCATTCTCTCTTCTACTCATTTAACGAGAGATGCCACCCATTCCGGGTACCAATTGAACATTGGTACCGGACTGACCGCCATGGGGAAAGCTTTTAACGTCATTTTGGAAGAAGAAACCCAGATTCCCAAGGATACCAAGGAAAAGATTTTATCGAATTTGACAGATTCTGCGCGAATCTTGGCGGCACTCTTTCACGACATCTCTAAAACTAGAAAGTACCTGATCAGCCCAGTACTCAACAAATCAGTTAAAGAACTGACTGAAAACACCTTACCAGGGGAGTTCTTATTCGGGCCAGATTTAGGCGAGCGGGCGAAAAATTTGAAATCTTTGGAGAAGGCCGGACAGGACCTACGTTTGTCCTCTATCCCCTCACGCAGTAGCTCTCAAGTGACTCGCCTTTCAGTAATCCTGAAAGAAGAGGGGGGGGAGGCGACTCGTCAAAGAATGTAGGCGCTTTAAACAGGTATCGCCCGTCTTACCGCAAGAGGGAGGTGAGGCAGCACAAGGGCAATTCCTCAAAACAGTTTGCTCCGAACAGACAACAGCAGTCCAGAAAACGTTGAAGGTAAAACAAGTTCTATTTGCTGGTCGGCTACAATTTTACCTCAACTCTTGGTCAAAACTAACTTCAAATCCGATAGTCTTATCCTGGATTCAAGGTTACCGGATTCCCTTTAAATGCACACCTCCATTACGTCAACCTTTGGGCACAAATAATTTTTCTTCGACAGAAACATCGCTAGTTCGAGTAGCTATACGCGACTTGCAGAAGTCCGGGGCCATAATCAAATCTGAGTCAAGGCCCGATCAATTTATCTCTCCATATTTTCTTGCAGATAAATCCAACGGGGGAAAAAGATTTATATTAAACCTGAAACAGTTAAATGAATATGTGGAATGCCCGCATTTCAAAATGGAGGACCTTCGTACGGCTATAAAATTGACTCATAAAAACGTGTACATGTGCACAATCGACTTGAGAGATGCGTAATTTTTAGTACCTGTCCACAGCGACCATCAACAATTTCTAAAATTCTACTTTGATGGCCAATTGTATCAATTCACTTGCCTACCGTTTGGGTTATGTACAGCTCCGTTATGTTTCACAAAGCTTATGAAGCCAGTCGTCTCTTTTCTCCGCAATTTAGGCATCTCTACAGTCAATTATTTAGACGATTTTCTAATCTTTGGAGTTTCCTATGAATCCTGCCTTAATAATGTTAGCACAACCATTCGGTTTTTAAGCTCATTGGGTCTTATCATCAATAACAGCAAAAGCATTCTGGTACCCACTACTCGTATAAGATTCCTCGGCTTTCTGATAGATAGTGTTAATTTAACAATTGAACTTCCTGCCGAAAAGAAAAATCACATCCTCAGGTTAGCCTCATATTATTTGAACCAATCGAGATGTAGAATTCGCGACTGGGCAAGGTTCATTGGCACCTTGGTGTCGGCTTGTCCTGGTGTGAAATACGGGTTTCTTTATTGCAAATCTCTAGAAAGGGAAAAATTCTTAGCTTTAGAGAAAAACAATGGAAATTATAACGCAAGTATGGCTATTCCTGAAAACATAAAGAGCGATATTTCATGGTGGAAAGATCACATTTCAACAGCTTTCAATGACATAAGGTATGATTCCTTTCATATCACCATCTTTACCGACGCATCGCTAACAGGATGGGGGGCTTGCTCTGGCCAGGATAGAACCCACGGTTTCTGGTCCGACTCCCAAAAACTATTGCATATAAATAATTTGGAATTATGGGCTATATTTTACGGCATCCAGTGTTATGCAAAACTTTTAAAAAATTGCAATATTCTAATTCGATGCGACAATACAACAGCCGTTTCTTACATTAACAGAATGGGGAGTGTTCGGTTTCCAGAGCTATGTTCTCTGGCTAAACAAATTTGGCAATGGTGTGAGGAAAGAAATCTCTGGCTTTTTGCATCATACATCCCATCTAAAGATAACGCTATAGCAGACGATGAGTCCAGGAGCTTGAATTTTGAAACGGAATGGTCATTATCTCAAACTGCCTTCGACCATTTAACCGACATCTTCGGAAAACCAGAGATCGATCTTTTTGCCTCTCATACCAATGCGAAATGCGAGGTATACGCTTCCTGGCATAGAGATCCAGGATCTACATATATCGATGCGTTTACAATTCGCTGGAACAGTTTTTATTTTTATGCATTCCCCCCTTTTACCTTAATTCTCCGAGTTTTACAAAAAATAATTCAGGATAAGGCTGTCGGAATTTTGGTGGTTCCTTGGTGGCCTTCACAACCTTGGTACCCACCTTTCCGTCAGTTATTGATCGACCAAGAAATTCATTTTCCCCCTTCACCTGATTTACTATCTTGTGCGGTTTCCAGGTCACATCCGCTGTCGAAAACCCTTACCCTGGTAGCAGCGAAGTTATCAGGCAAGCGTTTTTGAGTAGAGAGGTGCCGGAATCTGCTATTTCTACAATCATCGCCTCAGTCTCCAGATCCACATTGCAGCAATATAACAGCTCCTACAAATTGTGGTGGGAATTTTGCTTTAGTAATGACATTTCGATCTTTAAACCCACAATCAAAGACGTGGTGTCATTCTTGCAAGAGTTGACAAAGAAGAAAAACCTCAAGTCTGGCACTTTTAATTCTCATACATCTGCTCTTTCACTAATTTGCTCAACTGATTTAGCATCCAATCCTATAATTAGACGCTTCAAAAAAGGCATTCATCGTTTACGGCCTTCTCGACCAAAATATTCGGCCACCTGGGATCCTATACCTCTCCTAAGTTATCTAGAAAAGTTACCATCTCCACTTAGCCTCCAAAGTCTGTCACAAAAATTGACAACGTTATTAGCTCTAACAACAGGAGAAAGACTCCAGACAATTTCTCTTATTCGTCTTTCACATACCTCCCATGGTCCCAGCGAAACTACCATTAATATTTCAGACCCAATTAAAACCAGTCGAAGTGGGAAACCTCAACCAACCTTGCATATACCGGTTTTTCAACAAAACCCTTTCCTGTGCGTAGCCACCATCCTGAAGGAATATATTGACAGAACAGCTAGCTTGAGAGAACCCGACAACGATTTTCTATTCGTGACATATAAAAAACCACATACCAGGGCGTCCAAAGACACTTTAAGCAGATGGGTAAAACAGACTCTTGCATCGGCGGGTGTCAACACAACACTTTTTACGCCTCATTCAGTCAGGCATGCGGCTACCTCAACGGCGTTAAGAAAAGGCGTTTCCGTAGATAGTATATGTAAAACAGTTGGT